AAAACAGATAATCATTTTCTTGAAGTGTGGTCCTAGGGCTCTAAAATAAAAATGAACCCACACATTTAGCAAAAGTCCGTAAAAGTGGACTGTACCCTAAACATATTAAATCAAATTCCAGGCATCAGGGCCTGGAACTCTACATTTTAATACTTTCCCAAATATTTATTTTGCATAGTAAAAACTGAGAGCCTCTGCCAGCTGACTGAACCCCACAAAATTGTTTTGACTCATTTTGTAAATTCCAAGCATACAGATTGTCACTTCTTTTAATGCAAAGTCCATTTCCCACTATAAAAAACAAGTGGAGCACTTGATTTGTTACTTTTGTGCAAATATACTATGCTGAAGTTAAACAGACGAATAATATGTTATGGGAAATATTGGGAAAACTAGAAACAGATATAGAAAGAACTATTATAGAAAACAGTCCAATTCGGGGACCAACTTTGTACCACACAGGGAATACAATGATGAACTGGGTAGGCTATGTCTCTGACCTTATTTTCCCAATTTCTGTATTTAAATTGTTTAAAATATATACATAAACAAAGAAGTAAGATAAATTTGGAGTGGGATCATTTACCTAATACAATAAGTTGATGGATAGAGAAAGTCTAGAAAGCAGGAAGTAGAGGAGTGGCTGTTGGAGGAAACACAAAGATAAAAACCAGTTTCCTTAAAGAGGAACTTGCGATTTGAGACCTGAAGCGGGAGGAGCCAATGCTGAAAGGATTAAAAGTGTTCAAAGTACAGGGAACTATAACTACAGAGCCACTGCAGTAAGAATAACCTTTTGTGAAATGATGATGGAGTCAGATAATATACATAAAAGGTTTTGTGAAATACAGAACAACTGACAAAGCCAGGCACAGGGGCACATCCCTATAATTCCAGCTACTCAGGAGACTGACGCAGGAGAACTGCAAGTTTGAGGCCATTCTGGGTGACTCAGTGAGACTCTGCATCAAAGTAAATAAGGCTGGGTTATAACTCAGTGACTGGGCTATAATTCAGTTCAGCATTAGGAAGGCCCTGGGTTCAATCCTCAGTGCTGGAGTCGAGGCAGGGGGGCACTGAAAGTGTAAGATTTTTTAGTTAATACGTTAGAGCATTTTCGAGGGTAGAAGCAAGGATAATGAAGAGCTTTCAGTATATTTAATATGAAAAATAAACTAAGCAACTGAGACTATAATGCTTGGAGAAAAGGAGACACAAGTACATATTTGGGGCAAGAAGGGAGAAGTCTTCAGATAGCTGAAAGACTATATTCTTGTGGAAGAGTTAATTCTAAATAGTTCTACAGGCAGAAAATGAGGTTACAATAGTAAATATTTCAGGAAGCAGAAATTTGTCTTCATGAAGATTCTAAAGAGTTGCAGGAAAATGAACTGATTGCAAGTTAATGAGTTCTACATGATTGGAAGTGATCGACAATACTGCCAGTGGGCAGAAAAATGATTACACGGATGACCTATGAGAACCTTTGTAACCACTGGAAAATGCACATATAATCATGTTGTATCTCTCTCTCTCTCTCTCTCTCTCTCTCTCTCTCTCGCACTGTAACCACTAAGATGGACACTTTATACTTCACAACTTTAATGAGGACTGAAAACACACATGAGAAATACACAGAATACAGAAATCATTTTCCTAGTTCATAGTGTCACCCTGGGAAAATATGTCTACGTGTCTGTAATAACATTCCATATTTTAAAATGGCAATTAAGAAATAGGATAAACCAACACTCACTGTAAGTAAATGGAGAGTTTCAAGTGGTGTTTGAAAGTAAGCACTGAGCAATTATTTTTACTTATTAAAAGAATAATTCTACCAAAAATATGCCCAGAGTCCATTAGGTTCCTAATAGTTAGTATGCTGATAAACAGCCAAGACTTTTAGCAAACAAGTATGTGGCTTTATGTTGGTCTGATTTTAAATGGGAGCCATGGGCACAGGAAGACAGTTTCCTCATTAAAAATCCTGATGGGAAATAAGTATTGTTTATTATTTATCCATTATTTCCAGTAAATAAGGACAAAGAAAGAAAGAAATACCAAATTTCTACTTTATTGGCTGGGACCAAAATGCTAAAGATAACAAGCTGAACTTAGGAGTAAGACCAGAGCCAACTTTGAAAAGCTGAACACTACTTAAATAATGCCTTAGATACAATAGTTATGTTTCTTACCCAGCTGTATCTGGCTCACACACAGATATACTTCAGGAACACTTTCTCCCTGTCTACAAGTACCCCTTATTCACTATAAAGCATACACTCCTTAAAAATTATTTGAAAATAAAAATTTACAAATCTCACAGGGCAATTTATTTTAAAAGTTATGAGATTTTCCACAAAATGAAGGTTATGTCCATCCAGGTAGTCATAAAATCCTACCTTACTTTATGAAAAGCAGAAGATGAATTTGCAAAAAAAATGAAAGAGTTTAACGTTTAATGTAAAGAAATATCAGTGTTTCTGTATAAGAATTCCCTCCTAAGGCTACTGAATTTCTATTTTGGCCTACAGTACTTTAAAAGCATAATTACTCTGTAAAAGTTACAAAACAGCATGAAAACAAATCACTTCCTAATTTAATTTTTTAAGTTCTCTTTTCTTTAAGTTCAGATTTTGCTATTGTCTTAACCACTCTGGTCAATAGCGGAATTGGAGTAGTCCTCAGGAAACACGGGTGGGTGTCTCTGTGTGTGAACAGTGCCACCAAACATCACCTGCTTTCCTAGAAACCAAACCCTTATCAAGTGGGGTGTTATTAGTCTATGGCTAAATCATAGACTGCAATGACCACAAAATAACAAATAGGGGTGTTAAAGTAGAGACTAAGCTTCTTGTCCCAAAGTTCAATGCATTTACACACCCATTCACTGCAATGGACATTCTCCTCCCTTCATCACAGAAGATGCCAATTATTGTATCAAACACTAAGGGAATGGAACCCTTTAGAATAATTCTGTTATTATTCAATCTAGCCACTAAATAGCTTCCTTCTCTTAAAAACATATGAGACCTCTTGGCACTGTTTCCCTTCTTCTTATTATGTGACATAAAATTAGGGGTAATTCTTGTTTTTCCAAACATTCTTGTCCTTAATGGGATGCCTTCGTTATCACCTCTTGAGAGAGTGTACAATTACACCTCTAGGATTAATGGACACGGCTGTAGATTGTCATCTCCCAAATGTGCATTCTGCACGTGGAAACCATTCTACAATAGAATGGCTCTAAGTAGTGGCGCCATAAAACCAACAGCCAGCTACAGAGTTGTTCCTCCATTTCGACAAGAAGTCAGAAGTAATTGTGTACCTAAATCAGGGCTTAGTTCATTAGCCACATTACTTCGCAAGCTCAATCCAATTTCTCAAAATGCAATAACACAATCTTCCAACCTAATTATCTTCATTGAAAGTATTGAAAAGCTTTTGCTGGGACACATTTCTGTCTGTGTCAGGCAGGATCAGCATCAGGTGAATAGCTCAATAGACTACATTCTGTCTAATTGTAAGGGGCTGACATTTCAGAAAAACAGTTGTATTTTATGCAAGGGACAAACTCTACCCTGGAGTGGACACCAGAAAGTCTATCCCAGTAAATAAAGACACATAAGTATCTATCCATTTAGATAGTGCTTAAAAATCAGACTATGAAAAACACCTTATTATGTACTTCAGATATTCTATAGAATTGGAACTTTTTTTACAATCTAAATGACTTTTACAGTAATTTTAATCAACTAAGAGAAGTTTGGGGATCAGAGGAAGACTTTTTAAAAAATAGAACAATGAGGTAATTTATAATGGAAACATAATCCCATATCACTACAACTTAGGAAAACGATGGCCATTTCACAAGAAAAAAAAATTATAAGAAACTGCTGTTTTTTTTCTGAAGGTATTTCAACAGCTCATTCACCAAAACTCCTGAAATTTTAATCCAAACAGTTCATTGCCATCTCCCTTTGATAATCAACAGAGGAATCAGGCCACAGAAAGAAAGAAAGAAAGAAAGAAAGAAAGAAAGAAAGAAAGAAAGAAAGAAAGAAAGAAAAAGAAAGAAAGAAAGAAAGAAAGAAAGAAAGAAAGAAAGAAAGAAAGAAAGAAAGAAAGAACAAAAGAAAGAAAGATGACCTATTTTTAGGTCATGTAATAGGGGAAAACTATTTTTCCCCAAGTACTGGGGATTGAACCCAGGGCATTCTCAATGAGCTATATCCCTAGTTCTTTTTATTTTATTGGCTTGCTTGTTTGTTTGTTTAGAGACACCAAGCCACTAAATTTCCCAGGCTTGGCTAAAACTTACAAATCATCCTGCCTCAGCCTCCCAGAGTGCTGGGATTAAAGATGTGCATCACCATCAATACCACACCCAGCAGGAAAAACAGTTTTTAAAAAAATTATTTTGTGTAAATCTGTGAACAATAATTAGTAAAACATAGGGGAAATCAACCTCAACTCAAGTTTAACTTTTAATTATTTATTAACTTACAAAATTCCTTACTGCCACTAGGTCTTTGTTTTGTGAGTGAAAAAAACAATTTTTTCCTAACACTAGTCACTAAACTCAGTGTGTTCTAAGCCAGTAACAAATCTGCTTTTGCAGATGTAATAATTTAACAGCTTAAATTTCTGAAGTAAACGGCATCGTCTACTCCTTTGAAAAGTAGCTTTTACAGTGCTAGAAGTAAAGGAAACTGAGCACTTAAAAAGTTTCAAATATGCAGTATCGAAATTCATGTGTCAGATACAAACACAGTAATAATCAGTGTGGGAAAATGTCCAAGTCACAGACTGCAGTATAGGCAGTGTAGTTGCAGGTAGAGATGGATGGTCCATTAACAAGTATATTATCTTATTTTAAATCTGTTGTGAAGCATTTATGAGCAAGTGTAGATAGTACTGTGCTCAGCATTCAGGATCTGAAGTCACATGGAAGCCATGCTTAAACGAAACAACTCATAAACCAATGTGGATGGACTTACCTTATAAACTTGCCCGTATGTTCCATTTCCAACAAGTTCCACCAGTTCAAAGATCCCCGCAGGGTCCTAAAAGAAAATAAACAATAAAAGTTCAAAGCAGTATTCCAGACATCTTTTTCAGAAGCAAATACTTATTTAACATTAACAAATAACTTTACTTTGGAGGCTCTGGTGTCGATATTAAATGTTATCAAAAATTTTACAATGTAATTCTGCTATTGCTATGGAGTTGGTCAGATGCCATTGTGTTTCTGTTTTACATGGCTATGAAGTGGTTTTATATTGGAGAAAAGGAGATATTTCTTCAATTAAAACAATAAAAAGGAATTAACATATTTCCTGCCATCAGGTGGAAATAGGTTTGCGGGTAAGTCAAGACATAATGAGAGATTCCTCATCCTGAGGAGACTCTATTGCTTTAAGGTATTTCCCTTGTTTATGTCTGAGTTGCTCATTGGCACAAACACTGGGGTCAATAGTTTCTAAAGAGAACAGGATCGACACAACTGTGACTCCCGTAACGCTTTTCCTTGGATTCATCTCCAGTCTCTATAATGCTACCCTTGTGAATTACACTTCTATAGTATCTTCAGCATAACTGAAGGATTTAGAATAATAGCTGAATTGGAGAATTATGCAAGTTCTTGCCACCAAACAGGTGTCTACAAGTCCTTGTAATCAGTGGAACGTTACTCTGCTCAGTAAATGTCCAATAATCACTGCTATTATTACAAATTACAATCCCAACCAGTTGAAAAGAAAAACCAAAGCCTGTAAAATTCAGAAGAAGAAACTGACTTTCATCCGCACTGATTCTTAATGGAAAGGAAATTGCTTCTGTAAAGGTATAAATCGGGAGTCATAAACTTGAATACCTACAAGGGCCAGGTAGGTAAGTGAGCAAGGTGGACCACTGAAGAAGTCATGCTGCCTTTAGGAGGGGCTCAGGGGTAGGTGGAGGAAACAGGTGCTTACTTAGATAGACCCAACTGCCCTGTCAACATAGGAGCACAATCTTGCTAGCTCTAATTACTTTCAAGGAAATAAAACAGTACTCTGTTTACTGTGAGATCTAAGTTTTAAGTGTTAGGCATTTAATAGTAATAATAATAATAATAAAAACTATGCCAAGAGGGATAGTTGTGGTGGCACATACCTGTAATCCCAGACTCTGGGAGGTTGAGGCAAGAGGATTGCAAGTTTGAGCTCAGCTTGGGCAACTTAGTGAGACCCATCTCAAAGTAAAATATTTTAAAATGGCTGGGCATGTAGCTCAGTGAGAAGTCCCTCAGTGCAATCCCTAGGATGGAAAGAAAGAAAGAAAGAAAGAGAGAGAGAGAGAGAGAGAGAGAGAGAGAGAGAGAGAGAGAGAGAGAGAGAGAGAGAGGAAGGAAGGCAGGAAGAGAGAGGAAACTACTGAGACAAAAATGATCATGAACTTCAGGGTAGCTGCAGGAAACTCACATGAGCTTTGTGGTATATTACTATAGGGTGGTTGAGAGGCAGGAAGGCAAAGCCTGAGTTTTAGATTCTGACAGATCTTAATTAAACAGTTTTTTCTTGAGTGGCTTTGTGATCCCAGGAGAGTAGAATAATACCTGAACCTACAAACCTTGTATAGCTCTTGTGAAGAATAAGTCAGTACAAAGCCTTGCACATGGTAACACAAGGTAAACAGTCTATTGATAGGTAACAGTAGCCATTTAAACTGAGGAATTACATACTACCAGTAGCATTCTAACAGGGGACAAGCTGCTTCAGGGAAATGAACACTGAGCTTTCCATGGAGAAGTAGGCAAAAAGTATTTGCTGTTACAAGAGTTCTCTAAAGACAGTTTTCAGAAAATCAGACTCAAGAAAAGCCCATGGCTATATGCCCTTGAAGAGTTCAAATAAAAAATAAATGAAAAATAAATCAAAAGAAACACCAGAGCAAGCATATAAACATTGAGAGACTACAGTTGGCATTAGCCACACTTACAAGGCCAGAAGAGCAAGAAACCACACTCAGCCTGTGTTCTGACAAACCAAGACCTCCAGAAGTTCCAGCATCTTGGCAGGTGTGGACAATGCTGAACACGGACAAGAAAACACTTTGAGAAGACCAGACCTGAGTTTATGCCCCATAGCTAAAACCAACACCCAGAGATGAAAGACACCATCGAGGCCACTCAAGGGTCCTCAGGTTGGGAAAGAAAGAGACTACCAGGCAATTACAGCAGCAGGTTTTATTACCAATGGAATTAGACAGAAATGAGGAAAACAAAAACCTCCCAAACATGGTGGCAGCTGCTGTTTGTTTCTAAGCTGTGTTTCCAGTCGTTTGTTTGTTCAGTAGTTCTTTTGCAACAGATTTGCAGAGAAATTCTATATTTGTCAAAAACATCGCAACTGTGTTCAAAGCATTCATTTTTCTGGACCAGAAAAAATGGGAAAGAAAGGAGATGCAGGATGCTAACTCCTTAAGGAATTTGGTAATCACTTGGGGGTGTGAAGGTGAACGAGAGCCGAAACAGGTGCGCAGCAGCAATCAGCTTGTGTACCCAGGGCCTGCTGACCTCCTGGGACCCTTCTTGGAGATGGGTTCATAGCTGTGGTCCAGGAGGATCTGAGCAGCTGACTTCTGCTGCTTTTTTCTCTCCCTGAATAGTCTATTAATGGTCACCTGACCCAGCCACTTAGAACCAAGTAGGTTCCATAAAGGAGTCTTAGTTTCAGCAGCTGAGAAAGAGAAAGGCTCTTTGCTGGATGCATCCAAAGGGTGCAGAATCAAAAAGCAAGGAACTCATGAATCCCACTGGTAACTGGCCATAAGTCAACCACCACAACCCAATACTAGAAACAGTCACATCATATTGGTTCCACATTAGATCTAAAATGTCTTCCCCAAAACCCTCATGGGTGTGGAAGGTGACTGAATCACAGGGGCAATGGATATGCTATTTGGAGGTGGGGCCTGTTTGGAAGAGATGGATTCCTGGGGGTGTGACCTGGAACAAGGTACCTCCCTTCTTCGCTCCTCCTTATCTGTTTCCTGACTGCCATGGTGTGAGCCCTTTTTCCTCCATCATGCCTCTCTGCCACCCAGTTTCTGTCTTGGAGCCAGTGAACCATGGACTGAAGCCGTGAGTCAAAATAAACCAAACCTTTCCTCAGTTAAGTTGTGGGTGTTGGGAGTTTTGTCCCAGTGATGAGGAAAATGACTAAAATAGTTCCCAAGGCATAAACTCTAAGTTTCCCAGATTTAAGCAGAATGTGTTTATTGCAGTATGACAGTCAGGGAGTGAAGGGAGAACTGGGCTAAGTAGAAGGAAGAGCTGAACCGTGATCCAGTGGAAACAAACCTTCCTCTGATTCTATAGAAGCTCTTTCCCCCAGTTTTCTGATTGCCTAGATTACCTAGATCCTGGAGAGCTAGATGTTTGTGAATATTCCTTGACACAAATACATATCATAGTCAGTTGTACTCTCACAGAATAGTGATTCATCTTGAACAGGTGAGCATCCAGTTTCTTTCCCCGACTGGAGCAGTCATTTCTCCCAAGGTGTGTGGGGGGGTCTTGACCTCAGCTTTTATGTGGAGGAGTCGCTTCTCAGTTCTGTCCCATTTTTCCCCTTTGAGGCAGTTACAGCATTGCTGAGCACCACTTGTGTGGAGACTAAACCACCTCTGTCTTCCACCACATTCCTCAGGCTCTCTCACAGGATCTCTTTCTTTTGCTCACACCCTCAAGGTCTGCCTCCCCAAGCTTCCATCCTTGTCCATCATTTCCCTCAATTTGTTCACTGAGTGCCAGTGATCTTATCACCAAAGATCCACCATATGCATCCATCCTACTCCATTCCCAAAAGAGGGCTCACCTTCTCTTTCGGGAACTATTTGCTTTGCATTAGTTGTTTCTTCCTTTTAATCTAGTCACTGCACCATACCCTAATCATGACACTCTCAGATTTAAAGTCCTATACACGGAGGTTCAAATTGAAAGTCAAGGTCCTATCACTCTTAGGCTCAGGCTTCATCCCTGTCCCCAGGTTCCACGAGTCTAGGCTCTGAGCAACTAGTATCCTAAACTGCCCACCATCTCCCTGACCCAGCACACTAGGCTCTGTGCCTACAGGTTCTTGGCACCTGCTGGCCTAGATCATTCCTTCTTCCATTGTCTAGCAGACAAGCCCATCCTCAAAATCCTAGGGAAGACTTCGCAGTCAGGGCCACCATCTCTCCGCAGCCCACTGTACATTCTTTGTGATAGCTGCTTTCACACAGTGCTATCCTGGCACAGGGCACATGGTTTTCACCTTTGATGGATTACCAAAGCCCCGGGGACACAGACTGTAATCTTTATTTTAGTATTTCCCAGCACTGAGCACTATGTCCAACACGTAAGTGCTGGGACACAACTATAACCAAATGAAATTGGTGGTGTACCACTCACAGTTCTCTATGAAGTATAAAGGGAGATTTATCTCTCTGTCTCCCTCCTTCCCTCTCTCTTTCACACCACACACACACACACACACACACACACACACAAACACACACACAGCACCAGATTGCAGAGCCAAAGGTCTAACACATTTATGCCATTTCTTTTCAAGCTATAGAAGCTGTTCCAGTCCCCAACACCAATCCCAAACACACAATGCTGTCACATGCAAAATTCCCTGTTGTATTCCCAGCTCTAAAAACATCCATACAAATAGAAGGAAAAAACAGCAACACGGCTTTTGTAAATAAGGAGGGGAAGAGAGGTTCAGGGAGGAAAGGGGAATGGGAAAAAATAAGCATTAACATATATCATGTACAAGGGAATAAGGGGAAAAAACGAGAACCAAGACCTGTCATGTACAGGTACAAGATCCCAATAATGAATGTAACTGTACTGTATACCAAAAATGTACCAATAAACTCAATTAAAAAAAAGATATATCATGTACAGATACAACTTCCCTATGATGAATGTATCCCTATGATTATGTATATCTAAAATGTACCAATGAGATTAATTTTAGAAAAAAACCACACACATAGAACCCACAGATGTGAGATGTGCCTTGCGCATCTT